GGCGGCGGGCGCACCAGTGACGAGGAGGCTGAACGCGAAGGGCGTCCAGAACTCGTGGACCGCGTCGGGGCTGATCAGCGCCGGCAGCGCCGGCAGCGCGCGCGCGAGCGCCAGCTGGGCGCGCCAGTTGCAGCCCAGCCCGCCCTGCAGACGCGCGGGCCGGCGGGCGGGCGTGTGCGCAGCGCCGGTGGGGGCGCGGAACACCCCAGTGCCTCCCTCCTGTCGCCCTGCCGCGCCGCGCGGCTCCTAGCGCGAGCGGCGCTCGAGGAAACCCAATTCGCGCAGCTCACAAAGCGGCAACGCATCTTCAGAGCGGCCTTGATGTCGGGGAGCACGAGGTGGTGGGGGTGCGGTACAGGTGCCCTGCCCTGCAGTACAATCGCCCAAACCTCCCCCGAGCCACCCACCACCATCCTGACCAGCGCCGCCTGGACCTCCGCGCCCGCCGCGTCCCGCTGCGGCTCCTCCGCGCCGCCGAGCGCGCCCAGCAGCGGCGCGAGCGCGCCGAGCGCGGCGGCGCGCACCGCGCGCGACTCGTCGGTCAGCGCGGCGGCGAGCGGGCGCCGCACGAGGCGGCAGGCCTCGGAGGGCGGCAGCAGGGCCGCCACGTCGGCCATCGAGGCCGCCACCACCTCCCGTACCTGCGGCCGGGCGCGATCGGCGCGTGCGGCACACACCTGAGAGCCTTCTTTTCAGGCTAAACTGCGGCTCGTACCGTTGAGCCCGGATGTCTGGTCGTCACACACGGCTGCTGCCGGACGCTGGCTGGTCGCTGATGCATGTGCGCAACCCCGTCACGCCGATTACGCTCGCCTGCTCGTCGTGATCGAGCGCCATGTCAGCCCACGTGTCATGGAAATATGACCCCGCCGCCCCCGGCAGCGGCGCCCGCATCAGCGGCACCAGCTGCGCGGCGCACGCGCGCCGCAGCTCCGCGTCGGGCCGCGCGGCGAGGTGACGGAAGCAGCTGTAGAAAAGCGCCGCGTCGCCCGCCGCCAGCTGGTCGCGCACCTGCGGGCACACCGTTTCGGGCGGCGCGGCCGCGTTTGCATACAGCAGTAGCCTTTGAGTGACACACGGCTTCCAAACTCTTAGATTTGCAACTCAGGATCTTTACGCATCCAGGTAGCAGGTGCGGCAGTGCAGGCTGCGCTTTCCTGGGCGGCGGCTGTCTCAAAACAGTCCCAGAATCGGGCGGGGGCTCATCGGGTTGATGTGGCGCTCACCGCAGCAAGGATTGTGGGAAACAGGCCGGCCAGGGAGCGCTGTACGGGCACCTCCAACCCGAGTGGCTGGGCGGGGCAGACGTTAGAGTGCGGTTTGGTTTTAGGCGGATGTGTGTGTGTGTGTGTATGTGTGTGTGTGTGTGTGTGTGTGTGTGTGTGTATGCGCGCGCGCGCATGCGCGTGTGCGCGTGTGTCAGGGTGGATGGAAGCTTTGAATTTGGGAGGCTTCGTGCATTTGTTGGAGTCGGGGTTCACACGATACCCACTGATCCCTGGCTCTGCTGTCACACTGCTCTTGAGCCCCCCTCTCTTGCTGTCCGACTCACATCTGCCACCAACTCCTTCCATCTGCTGTCACCCTCTTGCTGATATACGGGATGAGGTGTCAACCCAAGACGCCCTCAACAAAGTGGAGGAGCCGCCCAGCCTGCCAACTCCTTCACCTCCCAAGAGCTGTGGACGCAAAAGCTGCCCTATGGTGAAGGCCTCTGCATTTGGTTCTTGCCCGATCTGTGCCGCAGACTTAGCCAGCTGCCTGCGGCTCCCCACATTCCCTTCCGCTCCAACCTGCATGTGGCCGCGTATCAACGGCAGCAGGGACGCCGCCCGCAGCTCGGGGCCCACCCACTGCACGACGTCCGCCAGGCAGGCCAGCGCAGCTGCCCTGACCTGCGGGGGCCGCATTCAAGGCCGGCCAGAGCGCCTGCTGAGGACCAGTCCGCCGCCGCCCAGCGCCGTTCGCTCTGCAGGAGACTCCAGACCATGCCTGAATGCATAGAACATCGCTGCCGGCCGGGCCGCAGTGCAGTGATGTGCACCATCGATTCCGCACGCGGATCAACAGCCGCACCTGCACCTCCTCGTCTTCCAGCAGCTGCGCCAGCTCCTCCAGCAGCTGCCGCCGCAGCCCGTCCTCGCCCAGGCTGCGCGCGAGCGCCGGCAGCTGCTGGCAGGCGGCGACGCGCACCTGGAGACGCGCGGCGTGGAGGGGCGGGGCGGGGCAGCGCCTCGGCCTGCTGGCATGTTCGTCGGCGCGGAAATTTCAGCCCAGTCGTCCTCGGGCAGCTCAGCAACTTGAGCCCTGGCCACCCTCAGGCAGCACAGGCGCAACCTTATGGTGTGCGTGGGGTGCCCACCTGGTAGTCTGTATCTTGGCACAGCGCCACCATCTTGGCTGAGTAGCTAGCCTCGACGTCCTCCCGCCGCTGCACGGTCGATGCACGTCATGGCAGCGGCAGTCAGGGGAGCAGTGCACTGCAAGCGAGCGCCGCCGCGGCGGCCCAGGCATCCGTGTGCGTGCCAGCAGCCTTGTCGCTCCTCCAGGCCACGACCAACCCCGCCCCCGAATCAACCGGCGCAGCGCTGCTATGTATCGGCCACTCCGGACGTGCAAGAGCATTCTCAAAACGAACCAATCTGCCCCAGCGCACCAGCCTGGGCGTGACGGCCCCGAGCAGCCGGCAGCACAGCACGCGGCTCGCGACGCTCTCGTCCACCTGCCCCTTGGACAGCGCCAGCTGCAGCACCTCGCGCGCGCCCGCGTCGCGCCCCAGGGACGGGAGCAGCTCGATGAGCACGCCGACCCAGGCCTCACACACCTGCAGGCGCGGCCGGGGATGCGACGAGGGTGGGGGTCTCCGCCATCTGTCTCCCCTCTCCCCCTCCCTTGTGTCCCTTGCTCCCTGTAGTCTCTCTGAATCCCGCTCGGGGCCTGGCGCCGTCATGCATCAGGGCAGGCACAGGACGGCCTGCCTGCACTCTTCTAGATCTGACAAGCAATTTGCGGGTGTGCGCCTGCCGTCATCGCTAGTGCTGCCACTAGAACGCACGCAGTTTGCTAGGACCGCAGAGCAAAAGTTTGCTCACCCCTGCCCATGTGCTTGAAGGTACATGCACACGTAATTCACACACGCACATGCCCATGCACCCAAACATGTGGACCAGTGTGCTCATGCACATGCATGTACGTAAGCACATCCGTACTCACCTCCTTGCCATCCTCCCGGTTGTCCCGCAGCGCCGCGAGCGCAGGCGGCAGCAGGCACTCTGCCAGGTCAGCTGGCGGCATCAACCGATCCCGCGCTGCAACCGCCCACGCCTGTGCCGCCGCGACCTTGTGCGTTTGAAAGCGATGCCGCGCGTGGAAGGGCCCGTCAGGCGTGGCTGTTGCGGCGGGGTGCGGCGGCGGTTCTGCAACCAGATACTGTGACGTCTGCTATAATTTCAAGCGCCGTGCGCTCGCCGCGGCAGCTGCTGCAGTCATTCAAGCCCATGCGGCCTGCAGGCAGCCTGAAGCAGACCCGCACCTCAGCGTCGACATCCAAAGCGTCAAGAGCTGCATCAAGCGGCTCGCGCAGCACGTCGAACGCCGCACGCCCTCGCGCCTTCAGCAGCGCAGGCAGACTGCGTTACGTGCCAAAGTGCAGCGGCCGTTGAGGGCAGTGGATTAGAATAGGTCAATCACCAACAACTGCATGCAACGGGCAGCCTGCAGGATATACACCGTACCTATCGATCGCCCGTCGCTGCTGCACGGGGTACCCTTGCGTCAAAAACAGCACCGCGCGCTCGAGGTCAGGCAGATGCTCGTCCACCTGCGTTGCAGAGGTCTCTTAGTGCGCTGCGTGGCCGAACACACGGTCAAACGGGGTCCACGGCTGCTGTGGGACTCGCGGCCCAGCCCCGCTCACCGTGTACCGAGAGAGCTCTTCTTCTGTCACCTGCTTCACACTTTGCCCCTCTGGCAGCTGCTCCCACTGAAACAGATCCATTTCCGGGCTGTGATCTGCGCCCGCTGCTACGGAGCCTACCAACTATCCTACGCGTTACATAAAATCTGAACACAGAAACTTATTATAAGCACAGAGACGTGATCCTTCAGCTCCGTGCAAGCCGCTGCTGCTGCAGTCGAACCCCTCGGCAGCTGGTGCTCCCAGGTGACCAGTGTGTCAAAACGCAGACAAGAGCCAATTCCTGCGACCCTACCCTGCTTTCATGGCTCAAGCCTGCCGTGATACGAGGAGGTGTTACATGCACGCACGGCAGCCCGCCAAAAGGGGCCATCCCTAAACAGCTGCGCGCTGCGCGAGCTCCTTGGCCAGGATCCGCTCCTTGGCCTTCTGCTTGTGCTGCGACTTGATGCCCATGATGCCGCCGCCCCAGGTGACGCGGGTGCCCTCGTTGAACTGCGCCTTGAAGCTCTCCACCAGCTTGCCAAACTCGCGCTGGTCCTCGTTCTTGACTGCCGTCACCGCCAGCGCCGCCGCCGTCTTCTTGTGCACGATCGCGCCCAGGCGCGCCTTGCCCTGCAGCGTCGCACCGGGGGCGGCGTTTGGTGCGGCGTGCGTGAGCGCGAGAGCCTGGAGCACAGCTGCGCGCAGGCGCCCCGGCTCTGCCAGACCCGCAGCGGCTGGTGGCAGCTGCCGCGCGACTGCTCCTTGTGACGCAGCGTCCACGAGCCGGCACAGCCATCCGCTTTGGCAACGCGCCAGCTGCGGGGTGCGACCACGCTGCCGCCAGTGCCCGACCCAGCAAACCCGCACTCCGGAAAACATCCCCCTGAAAACACACCTTGACGATGGCGTAGGGCACGCCGGCCTTGCGGCACAGCGCGGGCAGCCAGACCACCAGCTCAATGGGGTCGACATCGTGCGCGATCACCACCAGCTGCGCCTTGCCGCTCTCAATCAGCGTGGTGATGTGGTTGAGGCCGTACTTCACCACCAGGGGCTTCTTCTTGTCGGGCTCCTTGCCGCCGGCGCGCGCCTCGGCCTCGGCCTTAAGGCGCTCGCGCTTCTCCTTGCGGTCCTCGGGGCGGTACCTGGCGTGTTTTGAGAGGCCGGCGTGTGTGGTGAGTTTGCAAAGGCTTCCAAGTAGAGAGAAACTGACTGCACATATGCAGGTTTCGCCGACAACCGGCAACCCAGTGGCAACTGTTGGCCAGCGACAAGCTACCGACTGCGCGGTCGGTCGGCGCGAGCGCAAGCGTGAGCGCGGATCAGCCCGCTGCGGTCAGCTGGAGGCCTCAGCGCGCCAACCGAGCGCTGCGCCAGTGAGCGGCGCGGCAGCCGGTCTGCGCTGCCATGAGGACGCCTCCCGCCGCGCTCATCGCTGCTGCATCCCTGTCCTGCCGAATCCCTGTCTAGCCCAGTCCTGGCCTAACGCCGCTCGTTGCAACTTCTGGGCGACGCACATCCCTGAGCGCGCCAACCGGACCCCCTTCCCTGCAGCCCCCTCACTTGAGCAGCAGCTTGAAGAGGGCCTCGGCCTGGCTCTTGTCCACGTGGCGCGTGACGAAGCGGTTCAGGGCCGGTGGGACCTTGAGACGCATCGACAGCACGCGGCGCTGCCGCTGCAGGCGCACGTACTTGGGCCACTTGACGAAGCGGTGCAGGTCGCCCGTCGGCGGGGGCGCGCCGCCCAGGCCTGCGCAGGGAAGGAAGAGCGGGGCCAAATGAGCAGTGGAGCAGGGCGTGCTGCACATCCGCTTTCGGCCGGCTGCCAACGGCTTGCCCAGCAGGCTTGACCTGGAACAGCACAGCTGCACCGACTGTCCCGCCAAATGCAATGCTGTGGCGTCCTTGCCAGCTGCCACCCCACTGAAGGGCCGCTCCCACTGCGGAGTCGCCAACAGCGCAGCGGCGCCACCGCTCAGGGCGCCCCTCGCGCTTTCACGACCGCAGCTGCGCTCATCGCTCGTCGCACGCAACTAACGAGCTGGGCTGGTCATGCCGGCTGCCTCTGGGCTTGCCAGACGCATGCTGATGTCGCACTCAAAGCCAGCGGCGCGGAGGATGCACGCACGCACCGAACGTCCGCGGCCGCTTCTCATAGAGGGGGTTGGTCTCCTTCTTGACGGCCTTCTTGGCCGCCAGGGGCGCAGCGGCCACCTTTTTCTTGGGTGCCTGTGCACCAACAAGTTGCGGCAGGACGGAGCACGCGGCCTTGCATCAACTGCAGCGTCGTGCAGCAGCGGCAGCATGAGCGTCTGCTACCGGGATCCTCCCCATGCTGGAGGCCACGCAGCTAATTTGATGAGCACGTCCACAAGCGTTGCAAAAACTTGCGCTGCTTTCTCAAGGGGTGGTCCCAGCAGTGAGGGCGCGCGGGGAGGCCGCCGGAAGCAGTCTGCTGCGTCCTGCTGGCTGCACGCCGCCAGCATCACATAGAAACTCTGTATAACGCTTTCATGATGATGCTGAGGGCTGCACACGCCACTCTGCTGTCCCTCTGCACCAGCGGGCTCCATGCGTCGTGCTGCTCGACCACGCACCATTTTAGACGCCTGAGCCTAATCAAGCTGCAAGCAAGGAAAGGACCGAACGTGTCGCACTCGGCTGGGAAGTGAGTGCTGGGCAAGAGAACCGTTCCAGCTCCCAAGTCGTCCTGAGTACCGGACGAGCTGTCGGTCCACTCGAAGTGCAACAAAAACTCCTAGTATTCCGATCGGCATACCTGGCTGACGACGGCGGCGCGACCATGCTGCTCGCTGAGGTCGCACACGCTTGGCAGGTACCCGTAGAGTCTTTTCAAGACTCGACTCAGGAGCACACGACCATGCCCAACGTCTGTCAGTCAGGATCGCATGCAACAACAGTCCCTCACAAACTTCAGGTCCAAAACTGGGCCCACGCCTCACCCGTCGACGGGAAGGCACCGTTGGGTCGAGGCGCAGGTGTGTAAGCACCGCCAAGCAAAAGGGGGCACCCTCCTGTTTCAGGCACCCCCCATCCCCCACGCCATGCTAAGTTAGGGTATGGCATGCGGAAAATTTCCTGCATGCTCTTCATTATCAAATGTTGGGATGCCCTAGCCTACGTTTCCATACCTTGCCCAAGTGTCCCCCTACACCTCCGCAAGCCGGCAAAATATGCTTGGCAAAGGTCATTCCCTGACGGGATGACAGTAGCAGAGACCCATGTTTGTTGTGGCTGCGTTACTTGAACTCATGCGACGTTGCGCTTGACGACTTCGAACCTCCTGCAGCCTTTTGACCACAGTCAATGACTGGCCCTCGTGAATGGCCCAGTCCTCCCTCCACTGGTCTGGACACGGTGAGCACCGTGTATCATGCCATGCACATCATCATGCCTTGGGGCCCTATTGTACAGTAGTACAGCAGTGCAGGGTGGTGCAGACCACCTTGGGCAGAAGGCCCTTCATGTGGCTGGCCGAGACTCGACTCGACGACCTCGGAACAGGGGCCACCCTGCGCGATGCACGCGCCCTGGCAAGGGGCCACCCCGCGAGCAACAGGAAGGTCAGCTGTAGCTCTTGTTGTAACTTACAGCACGTCTCGCAGCTGCCACACGGCTGTTGCGGGGAAGTTCGTCACCCGGCACACGCAGGTCGAAGCTGGTCTAAGACCATCAATCGCCCCCGCGTTCCACCACCCCAGTTCCGTCCTAGCATCACTGTATATCTAGCACTTAAACGGCTCCTAGGCAGGCACCAGGGAGCCTCCCTGACCCCTCGTGTATCACAGCGTCCCAACATTGCATCTCCCGGGCCCTCTTGTCTGGCAAGAAGTACTTATTTGAGCGCACTTCTGCACCTTTGCCTGCCCCTGCGACATCCCGTTCTCGTCTTTGCTGCAGCTCGCGCGGCCCGGCCCAGGACACCGTGGCGGATTAACCCGGACCTCGTTGTCAGCACAGGCAACAAAGTTGGCTGCAGTGTCTGCTCGCGCAGCGGCAGCGGGTCGGAGGCGCACAGGGGCGCAGAGGCGGGCAGCAGCGAAGGCTCGGCTGTGCTCGAGTCTGTCAGCAGGCAGCAGCGGGACCCGAAATGGCTCTCTCGGCACGCGTCACGGACGTTCCAAGCCATGTGGTCTCTGCGGCAGCCAGGGCGCCGCTGCCGGTCCCCCACGCGGTGCATGCGCCGCGTGGGGAGGTGCGCCTGTGCGTCGCCGTCCCCATGGCTGCGGCTGGCGAGTACACCCAGCAGTATGAGACGCTGGAGCTTATGCCCGAGGAGGCGATCAAGGTGCGACCATGACGCGCGGCGCAATGCAGAGTCTGCGGAATGCGCATGCGCGCACGCGGCGCGCGCGCACGCGCGCAATCGCGCGACTCGCTGCATTGGGCCGCCGCCAAGGTTCGTGCCGCCCTGACGCGCCCCGCCCGCCCTGCGCATCCAATCCGCACCAGGGCCTCAAGCTCCGCATGCTCAACCGCGGCTTCAAGCGGCCGCTGGGCACGGGCGCCTCCTGCCTGGTCTTCGGCGAGCTGGACGAGCGCGTCCGCGCCGGCCTCGTCAGCGCGTCGAGCGCCGCCGCCGCCGCCGGCAGCGACTGGCTCCACATCTTCGCGCCCGCGGCGTCAGTCGAGTCCGTCTCGGTCCGCACGCTGATGCGCGAGGTGTCGCTCAGCAACGCCGCCGCCGAGGCGGCGCCCGCGGCCGACGCGGCGGCGATGCTGGACGCGCTCCCGCTGGTCGCGGCGGCGCCGCGCGCGGGCGCGGGCGCAGATGGCAGCGGCGTTGCGGCGGCCGCCGCTGTCGGCGCGGCCGTGGTCCACCTTCTGGTACACAAGGTGTGCGCCTTGGTGGCTCGCTTGCAGACATGCGCCAGCCCATCCCCCTTGCCAGTGGCAGCGCCATGCGCCCTCGCCCCACCTCGCCAGCTTCCGCTTGTTGTCACACGACCTTGACCGGCCCCCACCCCCACCCCATTCCCGCCCAATGCCAGTCCGCGCGCGTGGCATGGCGCCACACTGGCGGCCCCAACGACACGTTTGAGCTCAGCATCAGCGCGCCCGGCGACAACACCAAGGACCTCATGCGCAAGATCGAGGACGTCACGGGCCTGTCGGTCCGCGACGGCCAGCACCAGCTCGTCTACGGCACGCAGGTGCGGCGGCCCCTCGCGCTCCGCCCCCTCCTGGCGTCTTCGGGTAACTGCTCAGCACTCTGGCTGCGTGTGAGACCTTGCAGGCGCGCGGCTTGCACAGCATCATTTTATCTGAGCGCGGCCGCCCTTTTCTTCTCGCCCGCATGCAGGTGCTTGACGCGGGCCGCCCGCTGGCGTCCTACGGCATCGGCAAGGGGTCGGTCCTGAAGCTCGTCCCCGTCGAGCCGCCGGCCGCCGACGGCGGCGCGCCCGGCGCCGCCGGCGCCGCGGCCGGCGGCGTGCTGCCCGACGGCAGCCCGCGGCTGGCGAGCCCGACGCACGAGCTGCACGGGCACTGGCAGCGGGCGCGCGCGGGCCTGCAGGAGGGCCATGCGCCGAGCCTGGCGTCTGCGGGGACGGGTGCGCGGCCCGCCCTCTGGGGCTGCTTTGCCGGCCTTGCCTGCGCTTGAGGACTGGTACTTTGGACTGCCTCCTGTCTGCCGCTGCATGCTTGGCCGCAAACACCGCGTTTTTCTGTCTGCGCCCAGCCCCTCGTGTTTGTCGACGCACGGCTCACCCCACCCCTCCTGCACATCCCCACCGACCCTGCCAACCCGCCAGGCGGCTGCTACTTCCTGCGCGATGAGGAGGGCAACCCTGTCGCGGTCTTCAAGCCGGAAGACGAGGAGCCGCTTGCCGCCAACAACCCCAAGGGCCGCGCCGCGGCGC